TTTTGCGGCGACGCGACGGGGAGGAAATTGCTACTGTCGTTTTCGCGAACATTATGTGGAGATCGTTCTTCACCGCGATTTCATCTTTCAGTTTCGCTACGTTGGCTTCCTGATTGTGCATTCGCCTTTATTGCCGGTCTATTTTCCGTCCGAGGACAGAATAAACAGTGTAAAAATAGGAACGCGATTTTATGATACCGGAAATACACTACGAAGGTCGCATCGTGACGAAAAATCTTATTTCTTCTTATTATTCAAAAGTATGGCTGATTTCTTTTTTTTTTTTATAGAAAATTCTTTTTTTATAGTTTCTTTTTTTTATAGACTGGAACAGTCTAAATGAATTTGTAGTTAATCATAAATAATTCATATTTCATCCATATATTCTCTTTTCATTAATGTTATACATTTTTTAATTTTGTTATTTATTTGTTCTTTAATTTATATTTAATATAATTATTGCTACTGTTAGAGAGACTTATATTACTTATTTTGAAAATAATAATTGTAAATATATTGATATTGTAAAAAATTATTAAAAATAGTTGTTTACAAGAAAAGGCGCTTTCTATTTCCGGTTTTCCGGTCGCGACATGAATTTATAATGCAAGTTTCTTCATCAAGATATCTGTGGAATGCTGATATTGAATAATGCCGCCATGATATTTTTTTGTTCTGAAAAACTTTCTGATGTGGAATTCGTTCATTTATTCGAATGAGATAGCTGTTTGTATAAACTTAGAGTATATGATTGATATTGGAAAGTTACTTGATCGTTTATTATAAATTTGATGCTTTATTAATGGAAGCTTTATTGAGTGAGAAAAGTTTGTTTATTTAGAAAGTTATTTCTTTCTAAAGAAAAGGACAATTTTTTTATCCGAGAGAATTATTGTAAAAAAATTTGAACAAAATTTAAAAGATTGAAAAATTGAAAAGAATATAAAAAATTCAAGATTTATCGCTCTAATGTATTTGTTCGATTATTTCATTATATTTATATATAAATATATATAAATGACTATTTTGTCAATTGTTATTTTTATAAAAGTAATATCACGTTTTTATTTGGTTACTGACCTATGCAAAAATTATCGTGCAAAGTTTGATGCTCTTATTACTGATATAAACTGCATACATTATAATGAAAGCATGATAAAAACAGCGGAGAAAATTGACATACGTTTTATGATCACGATAGTATCGTTGTTTTGACTCGATCCAGCGAGTAAATATTATTTTTATTTTTATTTTATTATTATTTGTATAGGATTGTTTTCTGAATTTTTATTTCATCGAAAAGCTTATACATATATTTTCTGTCTATTAATCTTAATTTATATTTTTAAATAATACGGAAATATATATAAAATGTAACATTTGTAAGAGTATTTTAAAAAAATATAATAATAGGTATAAAATATTAAAATATGAAAAAACGGTTTGTGTGAAAATTAGCTTCTCTTGTTTGTTAAAAGTAACATACCAACATATCTTTAAATTATAATTATCAGCAAGTTATGAATCAATCATACTCTGAGCTAATTCTTGGAAGATGCACTCTTATCTCAAGTCAAAGAGCTTTATCAGGATTTACCATAAACGGCAACTGACCAACGCGATCAGAATGCAATAAACTGATAAATATGATGAATAATCGATCATTGCGAGTAATATCGCAATTGTGTGCAAAATTTCGTAATATAAGAACAATGCAAAATCTTTGTTTACATAATTTGGATTTTATTTCGATAAAAATTTTATTTGATATTTAACTTTCCGTCAAAATAAGTTATTTAAATAAAATTCATCATTTTTTAAATTATGAAACGATTGATTTCATATTGTTAAAAAATTATCGAATAACAAAATTATTTAGATTTCCCACAATAAGCGAGAAAAGGTTTAAGACGATATAAAAAATTAAAGATTTATCGCGCTAATTTATTTGTTCGATTATTTCATTATATTTATATATAAATGATTATTTTGTTAAAAACAAATTTTTCGCGATTATTTTTGTCGCAAAAAATGCAAGTATAAATTTTTGAAATGTCATACTTTGACGGAACACAATAAGTCACTCTCGGATTGTATCATTGTTGTGTGAGTTCAGAGATTAATAACAGTGCACGATGCATAATTAAATATTTGAAATGCCGAGAGGGACGTCGAGTCTTATTTTTTTCATTTCACGGTGCAGTGACGTAATATTTTATGTCCTTCCTCCTTCGAGTGTGATCTTTTCACGTCTCGTGCCGGTGTTAGCGTTCAAGAACGATCAAGCGAGCAAGAAAAATGATGTCGCACTTATTTAAGGACAAGTTATCAAGCAATTTAAAAAGGGAAAAAGGGAGGATACATGATTTATTGTTGTACTCCCATTTATGTAATCAATCAAACGTGAATAACAAATAATATACTGCATTTTATTCCGACCTGTTAAAAATAATATTAAGCAATGTTGCGAGACAAATGTGAAATAATTTGTGACATTATTATTCTCGCGGACATTTATCTCAATTTTAATTATACATTTTTCCCCCTAATATTGTGTGTAGGAGTGGTAACAAATTATGAATTATATTTCAAAGTTAAAATTATATTTTTGTAGGGTCATTCCATTTTAAATTAATAAGGAGGGCTTGTTGCATAATATTTAATTTTCATAGCTTTTTACATACTTGTAACATATACTTTTAGAACACAAAGGTTATTTTTTTATTTAAAAAATTTCACACATTTTTCTAAACGCTTGTAACTTATTATATAATAAGGATAATATTTTATAGATAAATGGATAAAATATTTTTATAGATAAAATAAATATATATAAGTAAATAACATACTTAAAATATATAAGTAGATAAAATATTATCTCTCTAGATCGACTAAATTTTCCACCGAGTGAGATTCTAAATTAATTCGCTCATCGATCGTCATTACGTCTTACCGAGACTGCTGACGTCGACGCATCGTGTCGGACTCGTCAAAATGAGTCGTAACTCTCGATTGAGCAGCGGGCGAAACCATCAATCACTATTAGAATTCATTTTTTCCGCCGATGAAAGTGGAATTACTGCTAGATGAGTTACGATGGCACGCGTGTCACGTTTTGACGACTGTCCGCGAAAAACAGTCACGTCAAAAAAATATTAATATATTAAGTTAATATTTCAATATTAAATATTTTATTTTTTTAATTATAAAATTATTAAATACCTTATTTGATATAATACTGTTATTTTTGTGAAACGAAAATTGAAGAGAAATTATAAAAGGACATTGTATATAAAAAAGATATATAAATATTATTATATAAATTATGATTATTGGATTATATATAAATACTCACGGACCAAATATCAAGAGACGATAAAAATGTTGAAACGGCGAGCGCGATTAATTCTTTCCGGAATCTGCGATAATATTTGAGCGCAATAACACCTTCCACTTAATTCAATTTCCGTCGAAACTGAATTAAACGAGGCGGATCAAATCTTGCCATATCTAATTATGATATTTAATTAATTACTTATTTAATTAATTACTTGCAGAAGCTATTGCAGAGAGTATTTTTTCTTAATTATAATTTATTTGATGTATTTAATAGAGCTTTTTCGAAAAATTTTTATAGGAATTATTTATTTCCAAATCGTCTTAAAATTCATATTTTTAAAATTGTAAAAAATTTAAACAATTTCAAAAATATAAACTTAAAATATATTATAGAGTGAAAAAAGCTCTTCTATTATACATATAGAAATATATTTTTTAAAGAATTACATATATGAAAACGTAAAAGGATGAGATATTATGTTCCTTAATTATGTTTGGTGCATACATTATGCTTTGTGAAAAAAAAATTAATTTAGATTAATGATGAATTGTGTGTTTTTATATTACAAAAAATAATTACAATTTATTTTTGATGAATTCAGTAGAATTTTTTCCGAAAAAAGTGTTTAACTGCAGAGCTCTTATTTTCACACATGATTTTTTAAATATTTTTAATTTAAAAAATTTAAACGACTTGAAAAATCGAAAAGTTACATAAACAGGAAACGAATATATTTTTTAAGGCCAGGGGCGAAATGCGATCGTATTCTTTTTATACGCTATTTTTCGTTATTCTGTGGAAGTAAAAAGTCACAATCACGAATGGCATTACGTTAACCGAAAAATAGGACCGGCTCTCACGGACATAAAAAGAGGAAACGGCTCGCGGAAGGAGACGCGAGTGTGTTATTATCGATATCGTCGGTGGACGAAAAAAGGAAGATCTCAAGCACGTTCGGGGGATATTGGCCGGTCGAGAAATGAAAGAGAACAGGACGGAAGTCGCCGGACGGCCGGCGCAAACACGATATTTCCAGCTCTCTTCTCGGCATTTAACTTCGTACACTTTTTTCCCCCTGGCCATATAGCTTGATTTTTAGCCGCCATTATCGTTTCACGAAAATGTTGAAAAATTGTTGAACTGCGATATTCTTTGCTATTATTAAACGCGTTCAAGAATACAAATATATATATGAAAATACAAAAGTAATTCTGTCTTTGAAAGGATTTTATTAGGAAACAAAATTTGATGGTAACATAAATAAAAGAAAATGTCAACAAATTATCTAATTACAAAATATTTAAAATTCTCATAAATAAATTCCATAAATATATTATATAATTCTAAAATTTAATAATTTATATATAATAATATAAAATAATATAAAATAAAATTTATATATTACTATATTATATATGCATATATATATTTATTAATATATATTAATATATATCAATAAATATATATTTTATATATATATATATAAAAATTAAATTTAAATTAAATGAAATTAAAATTAAATAAAAATTAATATATATTAATTATTAATAATTTCTTGAAAGATATATTTAATTTAAGTTTCTAAAATGATTTAATTCTTGTAGATAAAATTCCTGTTTAAAAAAGATAGGACATATACATTTTCGATACTTATATAATGATTTTGCAACCGATATATTTCACGCTTCGATCTTTCGTATCTCCCATGGATCTAGACCAATCAATCTCATAGATCGCGTCCGAGTGACTAAGCAAATTTTTTCCCCAAAGGACTATAAAAATCCCGACGCGCATCGATGCATCAGTGAAATGCCAATCGTCGTCGTTTGAACATTGTGAGAAACACGATCGTGGATTCTCGCCATAATGTTGCCGCCGATCATCGGCAACATTAACAGCAACGACATATTGACGTTGTACACAAATCCCGGCAACGGCAACAACAGGAATGTGGTGGCGACGCGAGCGATCAGCAGGGGTCGTTATGCGGAAATCGGCGTTAGGAGGTAAAAAAAAAAAAATAAATAAATAAATAACTGTAGGAAGAAAGCATTTTTCTTCACGGAATTATATATTTATATTTCTATAATTTTTTTGCTGCCATAACTAAAAAAATAAACCCAATTCGTTCATATCACCTCTCTTAATCGAATTTCAATTTTGTTAAAACATTGAATAAACGTTGAACTGAAAGAAGCATTATTTAACATTTTTAAAAAAGAAAAATGTTGCTTTATTCAGAAGTTATTGCAATATATTTTTTAGGCGATTATTATAGGACAAGATATATATAACTTTTAGACACGCATATACAACTTTGTATATACCTACATCAAATTTAAGTGAAAAGCAAAATATTCCTTTTGACATAAACGAAATTATATATATTTATACTTGTATAATTTTTTGCTGTAAAAAGAAGATCCAATTCGTTCATATCCACACATATTTTTACAATTATTTGCAATAATTTTCGTACGTATCCTATCATCTCTTTTGATCGAATTTCATTCGTTAAAACATTGAATAAACATTGAACTGAAAAAAAAACCGATAAGACTGATATATAATAAAGAAGATAGATATTGATTGAAACATGTAGCGTTCAGTTATGATGCGGACTTTAATATCGAAGATAAATCGTGTACCGCGTGGATTATTGCACGAGATCATTCGAGATCAATGCAGGAAGGAAAGGAAAACGATCTCACGTACCGCGAGGAAATCGATTTTAATCAGTGATTACTATGAAATATGATAGCGAAGAGGCTAAGAGCGAGAGGAAACCCTTCGGTTGATTCTTATGTAAGCCACTTAGCCGTGATCCGCTTATTCTCCCACGAATAAGGCCGCGGACGAGTCTCATTTCCCTTTTTTTTGTGGGAAGATTGTCCCTTCGAAAATCCTTTCCTTGAAGAGAGAACAAAGGTCCTTTTCAAATTAAGTCTTGAACTAAACTCGAATTAAATTACTAATTTCATAATTACTTTGTTCCAAAAATATTTAGATTATATTATTATTATTTTAAATTATATTAGATTTATATATATATATAGATATTTTGCAAGAGAGATTGCATGGAAAGGACAAAATATATTTGCGAACTTTTTTTGAATTTATAATTTATTTGTTAAATTTATTAAATTCATTAAAATCGAATATAGTTTGATGAAAATTTACATAAACTGAGATTTCTAATTTGTCTGTTTTATTGAAATAGAATATAATAATTCTTTTTACATCACCAATAATTATTACATGTTTCACATTTGATGATATCAAATAAATGACTGTATTTTCAATTCTAATTCATGAAATTTTAATTCTTTTTGTTTTTATCATTCAATAAAGATATACGATTAAAAAGCTTGATATATTATTGCCACGTTCGATTAAATTAATTTTCTGAAATTAATTCTATAATACATATACAAATCATTCTATTTTTTCCCAAGATTCTTCTCTTTCTATTATAAAAGTTGCTAAAATATATTTTTTGTTATATAAATAATCTTTTTTTTTTTAAGATTTTTTCAGATTTTAATTGTCGAAGCAATCATATAAATTATAATTAATGATTAAATTTCTACTTTATAATCTAAGAAATGAAATAAAATATTTATCTTACATAGAATCAAACCTTTATTCAATTTTATTTATTAATCTTGATCTTAATTACTCCACAATATTATGAAGTCCTAATTTTCTAACAAGTTTGTAGAATTTCGCGACTCTTTATTGCAAAGAATCGCCTAGAAATAGAGTGGAAAGATATTTTCGCCTCCGGCGAAGGATAATAATATCAATGCAGGTCTTACTTTGACGAGATTCTCTCTTCGCAAGAATTCCTTGTGGATCGACAGCAGAAAAACCCATTTCCACGGTGGAAATCGAGTCTGACTTCCAAATCCTCCTCGGCGGAGAAAGAGGATTCTTCCGTTTTCTTCCCGCTCGCGAATATATAGAATCCTTTGAAAGATACATCGAATCCACTGGGGATATGTATACGTCAGTCTGTGTCCTTCCGGTTTCCCTTAAGCCGAACAGTCATTCGTTCGCTTTTTGTATGCTTTGAGACGCGCGTTATTTATCATCGAAGAAGAGGAAAGACGAAAATATTACTCGCAAGTTGATATTGTATCGGAGAAATGTGCAACGCTTTGGAAAGCAGCCAAAACTGTGTCGAGGAACAGTTTGCATGCATAGACGAAAGCGTGCTTCCTCTTTTTTCGTTCTGCTCTCATATAGTGTTGTGCTTAGATGATCTTGAAATTAGTTAGATAAAGGTGAGATAAAAATATGTAAAATTCATCTTAGATAAGATGAAGGTGATTTTGTTTCAAATGTATCTAGATAAAAGATAAAATTATATGGCGACTCATCTAGATAATTTTCAAGACAATATATTATATCATTATTATAATTATATAATTATAAATTATATATGTATTATATATATATATATATATATATATGAGATGAAGATGATTTTGTTTGAAATATATCTAGATAAAAGATAAAATTATATGGCGATTTATCTAGATAATTTTTAAGACTTATATAAACACAGTTATAAAAAAATTAAATTATAAAAAGGATATAAAAATATATGTACTCATATTTTTATTTATAAATTTTTATCGCTTACTGTTTCTATACTATTTAAGTATTTTTATGTGCTATGATTGTAAACCAAAATTATCTGAAAATTATTCTAGATAAGTTAATAAAGATAATATTCTTTTTCATCTAAGGTGCAGATATATATAATACATATTTTTCTTATCTATATAAAGATAAGATGACGTCAAAGTTTCATCTAGATGATCATCTATATAATTTTATTTAGATAACAGCAAACACTGCCTGTTCTTTAAACGACAAAATATCAATATTTTTTAGACACATTTAAAATCATCCTTCATTAGTGTTCTTATTTTTTTATCTGTCAAATTAATAGAATTTTTCGTCGAATTATGAACCCAAGTTTGGTTCACGATTCCCACTTCGAGCTTATATATTGTGCCAGAACTCATTAAGGATAAAATATCCAATGTTAACAAAAAATGTCGAAATGCTTAGCGAGCGAGGAGTGTCGACCCATATTATAACCCTAAGTAACTCAAGCTTGCTGTACTTGGTGAACGGGTCTCCCAAGGTGAAATCCAAGGAGGCACTCTTCGTCTTCGGTTTCGCTCTATGCGAGAAACCGGATAGGTCATTGCACGGAAGTCGCTCTAAAACACCTGACTTGTGCTCCCTGTCATATTCTCGCTTCTTCCTTCCTGTCTTTTCTTCCTTTCTAGACTTTCCCCTTTATTCGTAGGAATAAAGATATACGATCTCGCAATTCGGGTTACTACAGTAATAAATCTTGTCAAAATTCTGTAAATTTTTCGAACCTTTTGATTTCACAAATTAGTATAAAAGTATACTATATATATGTATATTTAATTATTTTTTTATATCCCCTGATTGTGCCTATACATATGTTATTTTTCTCTTTCTCTTCATTTATTAAATTTTATGATAGAATTTTTAAATTTTGCTATTGAACTAATTTTGTAAAATTAAAAATTAGTGTATTAAAATAAGTAATAATAATAATACAAATAATGAATGAAAATAAAAGTCATGGAGAAAATTAAATGTTATTAATTAATTACTTGGATTAAATATTATTAATATAAGTTGAATATTGGAATTATGAAATATCGAGTATTATTATGACGTGTATATGTTATTTAAATTATTTGAATTATTCAGAAACGGTATTTTAAATTATATAATATTAGGTACTTTATATATTGGAATAAATTATATAATATATTACTTTATATATTATATAAACATCTGTAAATAGATAAACTTCACGATAGACAGAAACTTCACGTTTCTGTGTACATCGATTTATTATTTCTGCAAATACTTTATTTTTATATAAATTCAAAATTGAACTGACAAATGATTAATTTTTATACTTCGTTTCGTTGCGTATAAAATTAAAAACATGAAAGATCAAAGAGGGAAATGAAAAGTTATCAAAGTAAACAAGTATCAAAATTCGATTTTTGGTGAAAATGATTTTTCGGTACACGTCAAAATTAAAGTTTCCGAGTAAAAATATAGCTATAGAGTAAAAAAGAAAAGGAATACATTAATGTCATTATTCCTTCTCTGTTGAAAACAACGCGAAGTGGAATTTAATTAATGGCGCGCGCATCGCAATAACTCGACGCATGATCGATCGACAATGAGCTCTTTCTCCTTCTTCCCCTTCTTTTCCTCTCTCCTACCCCTCTCTCCCCTCTTTTACCCTCTATTTATTAAACACACATGTCATTCGTTAGATAAATTCCTTCCGGCTGGACCGAGAAAAACAGTTCGTTAGAAATATTTTGATATCAACCTATATCTGTTTCCATCAAAACAGATGTAATTAAAATCATATTTTATACAATCGTATCCTGAATTTTATCTACCTTATATGAAATATATGAAAAAAATGTTAGTGATATATTTCGTGATGTAAAACGATTCTAAATATGCTAAAAGTATTGGAAATGTTATTAGCTATGTTTTAATTAGAATTTGAATTATTTTATAATTTTTTTAATAAACACACAGTAAGAATTTTAATTATAGAGTGATTGTATAATCGAATTATTATATTCAAAATTTCCTATATTTGATGATACAGCCATTGTAAAATATAATTTTTATACAAGGCAAAATTTTAATTTCGACAAAAATTTTTTAAATTAATTCCTTGCTATTCGATAAAATTTCGGTGTACATATAATAAATATATATGTATATAGTATTTTTATATACAAAAAAAATTTATTTAAAAAAACTTTTTAAATTAATTCCTTGCAATTTGATAAAATTTCAGTGTACATATATAATAAATATAATAAATAAAAATCTATAACATACATGTAAGATGACATGATATTTTTAATGCATATACCATATGTATATAGTATTTTTATGCACTATTTTA